CGTGAGAAAAGAAATCTCCGTTGTGTAAGCCGCTCAGTCGTCCGTCCATTGTTAGGGCTTCCCTAGATAAGTAATATAGACTTCTCACCTCCAGGTTTGTGTTTCTTTTTCTTTTTTTTCCTTTGAGCCCTTTGAATATGTTATCTCACTGCTTTCTGCATCCATTATTTACGATAAGCCATAAACTATTAGTGTTTTTGAAGCTTCCGTCTAAGTGATGATGTGATGATTTATTCTTCTTTTTGCTGCTTTCAAGATACCCTCTTTGTCACCGGCTTTCATTATTTTTATTATGATACGAGTTTTGGAACGTTTTGTGTTTCTTCTACTTGGAGTCTTTCAAACTTCTTCAATGTGTACAGTTTTTCCTCGAAGCTGGGAAGGTTTTAGCCAATTATTTCCTTGAGCGTTTGGCCAGCTTCTTTCTGTCTCCTCTTTACCGGCACTCATGTTCATTGTTACTGTGTTGGTTGGTGGGATTCACGGGGCCCCACTTTTTGCCGAGATTGTTTATTTTTATTCCTTCTTTTTAATCTCTGTTCAGATTCCCTCATCTCTGTCAGTCCGTCTTCAAGTTTGCTAACGTTTACTTCTGCCAGTGTAAATGTGTTGGTTCCCTCCGTGAATTTTAGTTTCAGATATTGTAGATTTTCCATTTGGAGATGCACATGGAAATCTCTTTCTCTTTATTGATGCTCTCTATTTTTTTTAATGTTTGTTTATTTTTGAGAGAGAGAGAGTGGGCAAGCTGAGGAGAGGCAGACAGAGAGGGGAACAGAGAATGTGAGGCACAGTCTGCACTCACAGCAGAGAGTCTGATGTGGGGCTCGAACTCACAAGCTGCGAGATCATGAGCTGAGCCAAAGTCGGACGTTCCACTGACTGAGCCATCCAGGCGCCTCTGAGGTTCTCTATTTGATGAGCCACTGTCATCACACTTCCCTTTCCTTTTTAAAGCATGGTTTCTTTAATTTCTTTGAACACATTCATAACGGCTAGTCTGAGTGTTGGTCCACCATCTGGTAGTTCTCGTGGGCAGTTTCTGCCGCTTTCTTTCCCGCTCAGGTATGCGTCGCACTTCCCACCTTCTCTGTGCATCTCACAGTATTTTGTAAGGGATTGGACTTTCTAGATCATATATTGCGGCAGCTCTGGGTACTGTTCTCCCCGCCCCCCCC